GAGGTGGTAGTGAGGCCCCCATAGGGACGGAGGGAGGGAGTTGGGCAGGGCTGAGGCTGGGGCTACTGCCCAGCCTTGCAATGTGTGGGGCTTGGGGCCCAGAGCTGCAATGTGTGGCTGCAGGGCCTCAGCAGAGAGTTGCATGGAGCTGCAGGTGGCTCGTCTGGGGTGGGGGGAGCAGCTCCCTGCTGCTGCACGCACTCCCAGGGGAGCAGATACCCATGCCCCCCAGATCTGTGTGTGGGGCAGGTGTGCACTGCCCCCTGTGGGCTCAGGCTCCCACCCTGCTGACCTCCCTTGGGGCCTCCGCAGCCCAGCAGGTGCAACCCAGTGCTGCCCGAGACCGCAGCAGTGAGGGGCACCAGCAGGGCCAGGGAGGAAGCTGTGGAGGGCCTTTCATTTTAATCATGGATTTTGGGGGGTTTTATCAGAGAATTTGCAATTTTTTATCAGGAAAAACCAGGATCCCTGTTAATTAGTCACAATTGCTTCTCTAAATGTAACATTCCCTCATCACCACCACAAGGGTGAGTCCATATCTTGCTCTAGTGTAAGTCAATAGCCAAAGCCCTACTTACTTCAAGGGTACAAAAACAGCCTCTGAATTCTTAGAACCACTTTCTGTAAAAAGCATCAATTTCTCTTTCGCATACAAAGGTGTTTTCAGATCACTGTGTCCCATGCCATTTAGCGCTAACCTCTTCCTTTATGGCTGTCTCTTTCACAACTGCAACAGCTACGTGCATATTAAATCAAAGTGAAAAAGAGTTTACACAATTTCCCTTTAGTGGCCATCCTTCCCTAAACAGTCCGGTAAGTGTATGCCTCATTTTATTACTCAGCCAAAGCTCATTTCCTTGTTGTTATGCCAGGGACTTTCATAGCAGCTATGCTAATACCACTGTCATTACATTTCCTGAATTCATGAATTTGTCATTGCAATTTTGATTTTGTACTAACAAAACATTTTAATTTATTTTATAGGGATAGAAAGGAAGAAAGAAAAAGTGGATTTACTGAGGTTTTCACTGTCTGATAACAGACTTAACCTTTGCTACCACCTGGAGGCTCTGCTTTGCTGTGTCATCAAAGCAGAAGTTTTAGGGTTTTTTTATCATGGAGAGTTGTATTATAGTTTCATAGTTTCAGAGTTTCTAGGGTCGGAAGGG